GGGCACCTGTAATCCCAGCTACTTGGGAGGCTGAGGCAGGAGAATCGCTTGAACCCCTTGGAGGTGGAGGTTGCAGTGAGCCCAGATCACGCCACTGCATTCCAGCCTGGGTGACAGAGGGAGACTCCATCTCAAAAAAAAGCACCTGTGACTCACCTAGTTCATGGTGTGCTGTGACATGAATTTTGAAGTGCTATCCTAGGACACATTTTCTGAGAATCCTATTACCCCATAGCAAAAGGTCTGAGGACCAGGCCTCTGTCCAAGGGGCCAGGGAATGTATTGTGAATAACCAAGTGAAGCCTGAAGAGCTCAGCTCTCCAATGCCCAAAGTGACTGTGTGTGACCTCCGCCAAGACCTGTACCTGTTCATGCCTCGGTTTCCTTATTTCTAGAGAGCATACTTATAAATACCTCATCTACCTAACAGGATTGTCATGAACAAGAAATGCAGAACAAGGTAATATCCATGAAAACACTTTGTAAACTCTAAAGTAATTTCACAGGGTAATTGCTATTTTAAACGACTCTATAATAACTTTCCTTTCTACCACTCAGGAATCTGAGAGGATGGTGCTATTTCACGAAAATTAGTTTCAGTTCTTTGAAACTTGCTGCCTAAAACAAAGACAGCCCCAATTTCTTTAATCAAAATGATGATCAGCCTCTATAAATGAGTCCCATCTCCCCTGAGACTACTCAGAATTAAAATCTGATTTCAAAGAAGGGAAAACTGTGGCGTGTTTGGGTTGGGTTTGGGGGGTCTTTTGGTTCTCCTGCCTTCTTACCCACCCTCCGTAGTTCAATGAATCCTTCGGGGCAATCATGAAGCTTATTTGGTCCCATTACTTGCCTTTAAGGATCAGAGTTGGGCCGAATGCAATTTCCAATACTTGGTTTTGATACTAGCTAAATGGTGACTTGAGAGTGAAATGGTGGGTAGGCTCTGAAATTGGGGTGGGGGTTTCCTAGGTTGGGGTTACCGCTTACAAGAATTGACGTCCTGGAAGGGAAACCTCCCTGGAAACTCTTGCTTTGCTAGATTGGAGCAGCCTTAGACAGCTCAGGGAGGCAGGGGGCTGGTGGCTCTGCATATCTGTGTGTCCCAAGCTGGGCAGGGGTCACTTCTGTGGTGGTGCCTTGTGGGGTCTTCGGTGAGGCAAGCTGGAGCTCGCATCCTTATTTTCCCCCTTTCTCTTCCATTTCTCTCTTATTTGTTTCCTAATCAGTCCCTTTCTTGGTGTGTAAAATGAGAGGCTGGTTATTCCCAGTACATGTTATTGTTTCTGTGGGCCCCCCTCCTCTCCGGGTGTAGTAATCTCACCATCTCCAGATGAGGCGATAAGTGTTTGAGATGCATAACTGTGTCTCATTTCAGTGCCTAATAGAAGATGCAGAATGAGCCATGGCACCTTTCTGCTCAGTAAATTCATAATTATAGGATTCTTCATCTCGCCTCTTGCAGACTAGAGAGCTGTTGATTGGCCATGGGTCCATGTGTGTGTACAGTAAGGCAGGTTGTGGGGTACGCACACTTTCCCCAGCATATGGCACGTTGTGATACAGAGACTGTGCGAAGTTCCCTCCTCAGAAAAGTTGGTGGCTGAGCCCCAACCTGCACCTGCCTGTCTGAAAGGGGGATTATCAGCCCTGCTGGAATTTGGTTGTTGGCAGAGATGATTTGAGAGCCCTGTTAGCCAGCAGAGCATATGGTGCCCAAAGAGCAGTCTCTTTCAGATAAAGGCTGGAAGCAGCTGCTGGAGTGAGTTCACATAAAGTCAGAAGAGAGGCTGGGGTGGTGGAAAGAGCATGGGACAGACAGTGTGAGACCCGATCTTACACCATCTTCAACTCAATGTGTGACCTCTTGCAATTTCATCTGACCTCTTGGATTTCCACTTCCTTGTCTCTAAAATCAGGGATTGGGAAACACTAAACTGGATTATCCCTTTCAGATAAAAAACGTATAGATTCGTCTTTGATAGGAATTTGACTTTGCACAAGAAATTCAAGATGAACTATCTTGACTCTTCATCACTCATCTTGAGATGTACCACCAAGTACCATCTCATTATCATAATCCTAATCTTTCTAATCCTATTTTAATCTTGCTAACGATAACAATGACAGCAACTATCATTTCCTAAGCACTTAACTGTGCTGGGCAGAGGCTCTATGTGGCTGCTGCTTTACAGTCATTAATACTTTCAGAGGTAAACCACAGAACTCACCTGATCGGTGTTATCTACCAGCTTAGCCCCTGAGGGTCAGACAGGACTTTGTTTTTCTCCTGATACTGGTAGGTGATATCCCAGGATTTCTGTTTGGGGCTTCCATGAGTTAACAAGGGCTTCTAAGTGCTCTATCTTCTGGGCTCTGGAATTGTGCTTTTCTAGAAAAGTATGGATTTTGCAGTGACTGAAACCTGGACTTCAAACCCAGTTGTGCTACGTATTAACCAGTGTCCTTGCAGAGCTAAAGTTTCCTCACCTGAAACAGGAATAAGACAGTTCTGACCCCAGGGAACAGTAGTGAGGATTATGTGAGCCAAGCTATGTGAAAGTGTTTGCATGGGCTCTGGGGTGCAGTAAATGCTCCACACATATTGATATGCCTCTATGCTTCCAGCCCCTCTTTCTGCCAGTCAGGAAATAGTTGTTGAGCCTCCTCTCTATGTCCAGCTGTGAATGTGTTGACGAGCGAGACAGACCCAGCCCTGCCCTTGTGGTGCTCACAGACCCTCAGCTCCAAACTCTCCTTCTGCAAAGGCTAAGGCTAAATGGAAAGAGAGAGGCTGCTCTCTGGGGGCCTTTGCTCTTTTCCTCTACAATTTCATTTCTTTCTTCAACACTTTGCATTTCAGTCTCAACTTGCCAGTGATATCCTGGCAAGGCTGAAGCTCTCTCTTTTCAGCCTCATCTTCCACCTGATTCATTCATGAACTGTGTTCTCCAGACGTACTCTTCCTTGTACACACCCTCATGTGATATGCCCAAGCTTCTGCTATGTAGACCCCTCCCCTAGAAGGCCTTTCCCTTCGTGCTCTGCTTGTCTTCTCCAAGTTCACAGCTCAGCCCGAATTCCATGCCCTCCCCAAGGCCTGCTGCAGCCTGCTCTTTGCTCTCTCTCACCCCAACTTAGAAGTGTTCCTCCTCCTAGGAACTTCCAAAGCACTCTCTCGTATGCCACGTGACTTTTCATCATGCGCATCAGTTCAGGTTCTGGTGGTATTGGCCTGATGTGACTACGCGTTCTTTGAGAATCTGATCCTTGGGCCCTACAGCATCTTGCACATTTTGTGTGTGTTCTGAGCAAACACTGACCACATAGGTGAATGAAAGAAGGCCCTTGGCTTGCAGCACTGCTCTTGGTTGTGGTGTGCTCCACTAACCAGTCTTCCTCCTCGGATATTGACTGGAGAAGACCTGTGCTTTTCGTTAGTTTGCTGACTGACAATGCAAAGTCTTTATTTGGTTTTCTTCCTTCTTCTCTTGGTTTCCATCTAACCTAGTGTTTGCTCCCTGCTGGGGAATTTTCCATTGCTTAGTGGTCTACCTCCTCTCATTCTCCACTTTTGAGGTGTTTGGGGGTGAATGAGAAAAATTCCACAGAGCTGAGGTACCCCCAGATAGGACGCTGGCAATTCCTGCCCTGAATTCTCCCAAACTGGAAGAAACATAAAGCTGTCCAATGGGAACATACACAGGAAGCATCCTGAATAGAAAGAGACCCTCAGGATGGGAGGTGATCCTGTTCCCTGGGGAGTTTTGTATTTGTTTGTTTATTTATTTGCTTGACCGCTTCTCAAAGCATTTTTTCTCTCCCTTTAATGAAAACCTCTCAGAGGAGGTCCTGCTAGGGGAGGAAGCCAAGATCTGCCTTGTGAAAATGACATTAGGGCTCAGGGCTGGGCAGCGAACCCACAGGACCTGGTTGCTGCTGCAGTGTGAAGAGACTGAGGATGTGGGTTTTTACTTTGGCCTCTTCCTTCGGCAGAGGTGGCACAGAGGAAAGCTTCTCCTGCAGTAGTAGGTACGGACACAGAGAACCAGAGGTAGTGGCTGTAATGGACAGCCCCCACAAAGGGATCAACCTTAACTCTTCTGCTGCATTTCACAGGGACCACGGTACAGCCCCATCCGTGCAAGGCTGGGGTGAACTGAGATGGTTTAGCAGTTAAGATTGTGAACCTGTGCACATTTACGCTATTCATATTTGGAGCTACTCTACCACTTATAGCTGTGCAAGTTACATGACTTCCCTAAGCTTGCTTTCCTTAGCTGTAAAATGTGGATACAACAGGATGTACTTCGGAGGTCTACCAGTCAGGGTCCCAGCAGGTAATAGACAGCACACACAAATTTGGTCCTTTGAGAAAAGGTTAATAAAGACGCTGTTCATAAAAGTGTGGCTCTTTAAGAGGCAGTGTAGTATGGGGGGATAGTAATAGTGAGGTCCCCATTACCACCTCTACGGCCAGATGGGGTCCAGCAGGAAGTGGTTCAGAGAGCCTGGAGATGGAATAACTGTGTGCAGAGGCCTGCTGTGGGGAACACGGGACAAAGCTTGCAGCCAATGCAGGCAGTCCCGCCTCCTGCCCTCCCTCCCTCCCTCTTCTCCTGCAGCCAGTCTTTGTGGATGCTGCCTGCTGGTGGCACCTGACCCGGGTGACAGTGCTGGACAGTGTCTGACACAAATTCAGGCACTCAGTAGATAATGGCTGTTGATCATGATCATCATCATCATCACTGCTATTATTATCATGTCATTATCATCACCACCATTATCATTACTGATGTGTCCTCCTGGGGCTGCTGCCACCCGGCTCTGACTGTGTCACATGCCTGTGGTGGGGGTCGACTCAGTCAGCCTCCAGCACCCCCAACAGTGCAGTTCTGCTCAGTGTGTGCAGAACATTTTGAAAGCCCAGGCAGACAAGCCGTGGGGTGAAATGAAGCTGCTGGCGCTGTTATCCAGCTCATAGTCTTTCCTTTCTCCAGTAGGGGAGACTGCGTTGCTGAGTCCTGGCCCTCCGAGGGGACGACCGTGCCTGAGTGCTGCTGTGCCACTGGGACCCGCCTCTGCCATGAAAGCCATGCCCTGGAACTGGACCTGCCTGCTCTCCCACCTCCTCATGGTGGGCATGGGCTCCTCCACTCTGCTCACCCGGCAGCCAGCCCCGCTGTCCCAGAAGCAGCGGTCATTTGTCACATTCCGAGGGGAGCCCACCGAGGGTTTCAATCACCTGGTGGTGGATGAGAGGACAGGACACATTTACTTGGGGGCTGTCAATCGGATTTACAAGCTCTCCAGCGACCTGAAGGTCTTGGTGACGCATGAGACAGGGCCGGATGAGGACAACCCAAAGTGTTACCCACCCCGCATCGTCCAGACCTGCAATGAGCCCCTGACCACCACCAACAATGTCAACAAGATGCTCCTCATAGACTACAAGGAGAACAGGCTGATTGCCTGTGGGAGCCTGTACCAAGGCATCTGCAAGCTGCTGAGGCTAGAGGACCTCTTCAAGCTGGGGGAGCCTTATCATAAGAAGGAGCACTATCTGTCAGGCGTCAACGAGAGTGGCTCAGTCTTTGGAGTAATCGTCTCCTACAGCAACCTGGATGACAAGCTGTTCATTGCCACGGCAGTGGATGGGAAGCCTGAGTATTTTCCCACCATCTCTAGCCGGAAACTGACCAAGAACTCTGAGGCGGATGGCATGTTCGCATACGTCTTCCATGATGAGTTTGTGGCCTCGATGATTAAGATCCCTTCAGACACCTTCACCATCATCCCTGACTTTGACATCTACTATGTCTATGGTTTTAGCAGTGGCAACTTTGTCTACTTTTTGACCCTCCAACCTGAGATGGTGTCTCCACCAGGTTCCACCACCAAGGAGCAGGTATATACATCCAAGCTCGTGAGGCTTTGCAAGGAGGACACAGCCTTCAACTCCTATGTAGAGGTGCCCATTGGCTGTGAGCGCAGTGGGGTGGAGTACCGCCTTCTGCAGGCCGCCTACCTGTCCAAAGCGGGGGCCATGCTCGGCAGGACCCTTGGAGTCCATCCGGATGATGACCTGCTCTTCACCGTCTTCTCCAAGGGCCAGAAGCGGAAAATGAAATCCCTGGATGAGTCAGCCCTGTGCATCTTCATCTTGAAGCAGATCAATGATCGCATTAAGGAGCGGCTGCAGTCCTGTTACCGGGGCGAGGGCACTCTGGACCTGGCCTGGCTAAAGGTGAAGGACATCCCCTGCAGCAGTGCGGTGAGTCCAGGGAGGGCTGTGGGTGGGGATGGTTGGGAGTGTAGGATAAGAACCCCAGCCTTGTAGCCCCCATGGGGTGTGTATCATCCTTCCCCTTTTGCAGATGAGGCGAATATATCCCATACCATCTCTGAGTCTCATTGGACCCAGAGTGTCACCAAACATTCTGCAACTATGACATTGAGTGTATAAGAGTCAGAGTGGGAACTAAAACATAAATTCCCATCAGAGTACTCTCCTCTGCCCCATACTGGCTCACTGGTTATGAGGGGGAGTGCTGGAAATAGGTAGGAATTGTGTCAAATGGATGTTGTAGGGACCGGGCATGGCTGGAGTCTAGATCATAGTGTGCTGTAATGCAAGATGTGTACACGCCCTTTATACTCACCAAGCCTGCAAATAACCTTCCTGGGAGCTTAGAATAAAACCACAGGGTAGGGGAAGAGGAGAATGTGAGGAGTCAGCCTACATTTGGGATAGATATGGAATTTCAGGAGAAGTGTGTTTTTAGCCTTTCGTATGTCTTTAGCAAATGCTAAAACGAGAGCACAGTTAGGTAAGAGTGCAGTGAACACATAGAGAAAGCAAAGCTAACTTAGAAAAGGGATGGGAAGGGACAAATCATGTTTATTGAGCATCTTCTGTGTGTACAGTGCCTTGGAAGAGACGTGAGAAAGTCAGGAAACAGCCCGAGAGCAGCATGGGATGATGGGAGAGCTGCGGGGAACCAGAGGGAGAGCAGGAGAAGGGTTGGCTTAGGGGTCTTCGCATGGCCTGTGGGTATGGCCTTGCTGGGTGACCCCAGGTGAAGCAGGGACACAGATTCTTGCCTGTCGTAGCCTAGCTCACGTGTGCCGCACCATGAAAAGCATCTGCCTTCTTGTAGTTGGACTCTGTTCCTCTTCACAGTGGTCCTGTTTGTTCACAATCATTCTTTGGGCGACTTGGAAGGCTCAGCTATCAGCATCTTCTGTGCTCTTGTCCTTTTCCTTTTGTAACTGTGCATTTTAAAGATTATGAACCTACTTTGAGAACATCAATTCTGTAATTTTCATTTGGGGAGAAGAAGAAAGGAAAAGGTATCCATCAGACAGAAGTACACATCCATACTGATGTGATTCTTGACTCCTTAAACTTTGGTGGAGTTCCATATTAGGAAATGTATTTTGGTTGTTTAAAAAAGCATTAGTTTCCTTTCATAAAGTATAACTATGTGCCAGGCAGATCTCAGAGGGGACTGGCACCCTCCCCAGCCAGAGTGTAGAGAGGCCATCACTCTGGTCTTTGGGATTTGGGTTAGAGGTAGGGAAGAGGGAGGAGAAAGATGGTGCCCTGGCATTAGGCTCAGCCTGTTTTCTACTGTCAAGTCTTCCAGGCACTGGGCCAGCTGAAACTAAAAGATGTCATCTCTTCTTGGAGGTTTTGAAAAGCCAGGAGTCCCCTGATGTCACAAAGGAAACAGGAGAGGTGCTATGGACCAAGCAGGGCAGGAAAAATTTGACAAATCAGAGCCAGACCAGAGAATGGAGGGGACTCCACTGTATCTACTGAGCCTTCCTAGCAGGTGACTTAACCTTTGGGAATGCCTCCTGGAGCCCTCTGTTTAGGGCAGTAGCGGAGCCACTTAAGAGAGTCCATGAGACAGGGCTATGAACTTGTGGGGGCATGGAATGCTCCCAAATGAAGGCAGCTAATGACAGAGGCTGTGCTGGACATATGTCTATTATGCACTCAAACATGGGTCTATGTGAGATGTATTAGAATGCTGGTGTTGAGAAGGCCCTTCGAGAGCCTTGGCCTAAAACTTCATTTTACATTGAGCACCTTGAGACTCAGCAAGGTGAATGAATTGCCCAAGGTCACACATGTTAGGAGTGAGTGACAGAGCCAGCAATTGAAGAGAATCCCCCTTACCTGCAGGTTACCCACACATGCATACATGTAATAAATTCCCCACAAGCATGCACACATATGCAGGCCTGTTAGAAGATGGCAAGTTTAGGCCATGTACTTACTAAACAACAACTAGTTCTTCTGAGACCAGAAGGGTTGGCAATCTCTGACAGTTTCCTGTAGAAAACTTGCTTCAAACCCTGACTTTCTGGGTGATGCTCCTGGGAGAAAAATCAGCTGCAGGGGTCCGTCGTGGGCAAGTGTTCATGCTGCCCTTGCTTCCTGCCACAATACAAAAAGCCAAGTTCATCATGGAAGTCTGCAGAGCTGCAGGTCCTAACACTGTGTGGTGGCCTTGGAGAGAACAGAGGGGAAACAGCTTTGCAAGACACGCTAATGCCAGGATGGGGAGTAATGGAGCCAGATAACAAGCTTTTGATTTTTCTTTTGGCTTTAATTAGTCCTTTCAAGTTACAGGCAAGTTCAGGGCTGAGAGTAGAAAGGAGGAGGCCAGAAACTCTGCACAGGGCTGGGGCTATCTCTCCAGCCAGTCTGAGAAAGGCCAGGCTGCCGTTTAATGCACAGTATCAGTTTCCTTTGATTTGGCAGATACCTGAGTTCCTTTGCTCCAGCATTCATTTGGAGTCGGCTCAGACCACACGTGTTTCATGCGTCATCGGCCAGGCCAGGCTCTGTGTTGCCACAATGGCACCATTTGCAAACCCAGCTCTTCCTCAACCCATTTACAAGGCTGTTGGTTTAGTTTTCCTGTTCCCTTCCTGCCTAGAGGTGGAGGATGAACAAGATGAACTCTGGAGTTCTTGCTTGTCATGGAGTCTGACTCTCCCTTGAGCCCTGTGAAGTGGGAACTCAGTCCCAGATGACCTCTGTCCTGTGGTGTTCCTGTTGTAGGAAGATGGCAGAGGGCAGGGCAAGGCCCAGGAGGTTGGCTTTTAGTACTTGTGTTTTGTAGGGCAAGGGGTTCCCTGTGGGTTTTATCATAGTTGCAACTCTACAAACTTGAAGAAGGGATTTGACTAGCAATGAATGTCAACTGTGCTGCAGGCTGTACCAGCTCTCTAAGTTAGAATGCTCCTCTCATGTGGCTGTTCAGGCTTTTCTAGCCCTTTTCATATCCTGAGACCCATATTCTTCCCCCTGAACTCACGCCTCCAGAACTCAGAGCCGGGATCCGCATAACTCCCGGGCCACCTGCCTCCTTCATAAGGTCCCAGCACCTGCTTTGGCTATGTTCATTCGGGGGATAGGAAGGAATGGGAAGAACCCCTACTACAAGGCCCCTGGTGCCAGGAAGCATCCACAGAGCACTGGGCAGGCCGAGGCCTGAGGACTGGGCAGAGGGAAAAGTCTTGGGCCATGGGGGTGGAACCTGCTGACCCACAGCCCCCAGAGAGCTCGACGGTGCCTCAACTTCAGGTGAATCAGGTAAGGCTGGCCGTGCTCCCATCGGAGATGAGGGCTGGTTGGCCAGGAGTGGCCTCCTCATGGGAATGTGTTGCTGTGGACATAAACAAGCCTGTTGCAAATGCACATTCCTGAGTGGGCACGGAGTGTGGAGGCTGGGGAAGCAGCTGGGGCTTTCTGATGTCAGTGGAGTATGAGAGCAGCAGCTTCTGCCTTCGCCCTCTGAGCCGTGCTTTACCCCTGTCCTGGCTTTCTCCAGCCTGGGTGGAGAGAGGTCTCCCAAAACAAGTGGGTTAGTATCTGCAAGTAACTCTAAGGATCTCATGAGGACATGGGTATAAGGGGGGTCCTAGAGGGTCTGTCAGGGCCCCAGTTTGTCTTGGGACTCACAAGACTAGAGGTCAAGCTAATGAGCACTCATGTGGGGAATGGCAGTGATTTCATTTCTGTTTCTGTGGCTTATCCTTGGTGCATCTCTATCCTCAGCCCCTTTTGAAGGCTGCCATCCAGGCTCCCTGAGACCGCCTGTCTGCAGAGCATGTGACAGACAGTAAGGCTGAGGAGCCCATACCTGTGGCCTCTGTCATGTGCCAGGGCCTTATGCAGGAGAAGGCGATGGCTCTCTGTCCTTCTCTTGGGGGGACCTGACACTCCTGACTTGGAGTGGGCATCTGGCTGGAGAAGATGCTGGGTTTGACCAAGCACCTGGCATCTCAGAATTCCCCAGGCATAGGGTTATCTATACCTTCTCTCCTTTCTTCAGCCTCCTGGGGCAACCTCATCCAACACTAATGAACTAGCGCTTCCAAATAAACTAATGAATGGTGAAACATGTTGGAGCCCTAGGAAAGGGCTTGGCAACGCACTGCCTCCTGGTGGATATCAAGCATCGTGGAATGGCATCTGTCTCCAGGAGCCCACACAGTGGAGGCGAGAGATGCACACCAGCAGGTCATTATGGCCCGGGTGATGGGAACAATGGCTGCGGTCATGGGAGTGACTGTCATTCACTCCACTTCATTCTTCCCTGACTTTGGAACCAATTGAGCCATGGGTAAGGGAGTCAGATAGTCTCGGCCATACTACCGATTAGGTGGTGTGGAGAAAGGTGACATGCAGTAGGTACAGAAATCAGCTTCTCAATCTCTCTGTCAAGCTTTGACCTGAGTGTCCTTCAACTAGAAAATTTGGGTCCTTGGAGCAGAAACTATTATCTAGCATCACTGACTCACACCTGTCAAACCCCAGTAGTGGGAGCAGAGGGCAGAGGCTTCCCGCCTGTCTGGAAATAACACACTGGAGTTTGCATGGTACTTGATGGTTAACAAGGGCTTTCACACACCTTTTCTTCTCCCGACAGTACTGTAGGATAATGGAAGGGCAGGCATCCTCTGCAGTTGAGGGAACAGAGGAACAGAAAACTCAAGTGTTTCACTCAAGGTCATGTCATTAGTAAACTGAAAGCTGTTCTGTATCCTAATTCTCAGCTTGGTGCTCTTCCCATGGTGTTTCACAAGAGTGTTCTAGCAGTGTCCAGGGTAGGCAGTTCATGGTGCCGGGATTGCCTGATATTGGGGGGTATTTGTGATCCGGGGCCCTAGAGTGCTGAGCGCCAGTGGAAGTTCCCAGTCACTGCGAGGCAAGCAAACCTCTCACATTTCCAGAAACCTCTCATTGAGAAC